CCCCCCCCCCCCCCCCAAAAAAAAGAAAAAAGTACGGCCAAATAGCAATCTATGGGGTTGGTTTATGTTTTCAGAACATCTTTTTTGGAAATCCTAAGTTTGTGAATATTGATTCCCGTCGAAACGAAACGGTTTGAGTTTTGTGAAAAAAGCCGAAGTCCCTTATCGGATTTGAACCAATAATCTACGTCTTACCATGACGTTACTCTACTACTGAGTTAAAAAGGCCTATTTGATTCAATTTCTAAACAAAGTCATTCCTTCGTAAGTTTCTGAGAACGGTTTTTGAAGATGAAAATAGGAATACGAAGTAGTCAAGTGAAACTTGGGAGTTAGTGTGGATATTTGATTCAATTTTTGAATGAAGTTGTTCCTTTGTAACTTTTTTAGAGCGGTTTTTGAAGATGAAAATAGGAACACGAAGTAGTCAAGTGAAAGTTGGGAGTCGGTGTTTGATTCAATTTCTGAACGAAGTCGTTCCTTCGTAATTTTTCGAGAACGATTTTTGAAGACGAAAATAGGAACATGAAGAAGTCAAGTGAAAGTTGGGAGTTGGTGTGGATATTTGATTCAATTTCTAAATGAAGTCGTTCCTTCGTAATTTTCTTTCTGAAACTGTTTTTGAAGATGAAAATAGGAACTTTGAAGATGAAAATAGGAACACGAAGTAGCTAGTGTGGATATTTGATTCAATTTCTGAACGAAGTCGTTCCTTCGTAATTTTTCGAGAACGGCTTTTGAAGACGAAAATAAGAACACGAAGTAGTGAATTGAAAGCTGGGAGTGTGTGGAGTAAGGGAATTTTATGTTTTTGGTCTGTAATGAAGAATATTGTCTCCTAACTTTGCCGAATGATGGATTCAAAGAATATAATCTTCAAACATTCAAATGGGAATAAATTTTGATACCTTGTAATAAAGAATATGCAGAGCCACATGCTTTTAATTTCCCTAATTTAATATTTGGATTAAATATTTATATAGATATTGAAAATAATATATATATATATATATATATATATATATATTTTGGATCTTGAAATTTTTTCATTGTTGTGTTTGGATATATTGTAACCAAAACAGAGAAATTTCCCAAATCTATTTTTCTTTATTTTTTAATAAATGATAATAATTTTTTTCTCTCAATTTTTAAATGAAATTTTCTTATGTCCACTTACAGATTCCTTTTAATATTTTATTTTTATTTTTGGATAATTTTACATATTCTATTTTAAAAATAGAATATTTATTTTCTATAAAAAAAAAAAAAAACCTAAAATTCGTATCCATAACACTCCGTTGCAAAACTAAATTGTTGATGCGATCTTCAAAACCCTAAATTGGTAGATTTAGATTGGGATTCGTTCATTTTTTTGAAGTTAAAAAATAATTTGTTGATCGATTCCTAATTTGAATCTGTTTAAAAATAATTTGTTTCCGTTTATTAGCTACCCAAATACTTTAAATTAGATGTGAAATTAGCATACTTTGAATTAGATGTGAAGTTTATTTATGACTCTTTATTTCCTTTAATTTTTGTGTTTTTCTTTAACCATGTTAATGTAATTTTAAACTTAGCAAATGAATGCACGCTACAATTAATGTAATAACCAGCAAATATGTAATAAATTTATTGCAAATTTATCGCAAATATGTAGTATGTAATGATTTTCTCTCGTGTTGCGTAAATTTATCCATTTTCAATTTTTTTTTTTTTTTAATAAGTAGGGAGTATCTTTCCTTTTAAGTTTAAGAGTATTATTGAAATAAAATTTTAACGTTTTTTATCTTAATTTAATGGAAATGGTATTTTAAAATGTTTTAAAAATATCCTATTGAAAGAAAAACTAATAATTTAAGAGTATTTTCTATTTAGCCTTAAAAAAAAAAATTCCCAAATCACTTTCTGCAAAAGTAGAGAAGTTAGAAGGAAAAAAGACCCACAAACTCGCATCTTAATCACATTAGTTAACCAATTTTCAAGTTATGCTATGTCTGGTTCGAATAGTTGTTTATATATATATATATATATTATATCATATTGATCCAGCATTTTCTCGATTAATCAAACAATAATCTCTCAAATTTTGTTGATTTTTTTTTTGCCAATGTCCGTAGACATGGTTCAATTTCATAAGTTCAAAATAAAAAATTAGCCCATTCATAATCAATTAATTTAGTTAATCTTAGTCACTTTCGTTCTCCTACCTTCTTTGTAATCCAATTTACACGTTTCATTAATTCTTTAAGGGTATAAATTCGTATATATATGTATACATCTTCGATGATGTTCTTAAATTTTTAAATTTTGGTTCCAAAATTTTTGAAAATAACTATTTTAATAACTCTTTATATTTTTTTTTCATGATATTGTTGGAGTTCGTATTAGATAGTTAAAAATAATAACGAAAATTTAGTGGTTTAAACATACTAAAAATATACCTTTTGAAGTAACTCTAGTTAAAAAAAAAAAGAAAAAAAAAGTGTTTTTTTGTCCACACATCCATTGAAGTAATAACTTAGTACTTATTACATGCTAAAGTTTACCGAATAAATAACTAAACAGTTATTTATTGGTTGAAAGTACATAAACTAAAGCTATTAAATCATTTATTCCCTGAAAATACCAAGAGACCAGAAAATGAATAAGAGTTTCTTTATCACATCCAAAGAGTATAAACCAAGCAAAATGGTTTATTGCCAGAATGAATGAGGCGTTTCTGACTGAAAGAAAGTATATAATGGCACATTTCTTCAAGCAAACAATCTGATGTTCAAGAACGTTTGACCATTGTCACTACTAACCATTTACAACAAGCAAACAAGAAGATTCATGTTTTCTTAAAAACAATCACAAAAAAAGTATTCTTATGGCCTCTAATTGCTTAAGAGAGGGGCTTATTAGATGCAAAACTTCTCCATGGTTCTTGTCTGCACCTCTCAGTGAATCTACACTGAGATAAACTGATTTTGATCCACTTTCATGCCCTGAGCTTTCGGCAAATTGAGCTGCAAATCTAGAGATCTCAGAACAAGACACTCTAAAGAGGGAGGAGCAGTAAAAAGGCAAGCGAATGAAGACCGAGAGCGCCCGGGGTAACCTGGGTTATCCTTGATGAAGGATGATGCACTGTGAAAGACGTTCAGTGACATCAGTCCATGCTGCAATAAAGAGGCATTCTTGTTAGGTGAGGTTGACCAGATTCCTCTCGTTTTTTTAGGGTAATTTACTCTACCTGGGAAGTTTTGGAAGTCGGGTTCGATTCCGTTTCCATTTATATCTTTGTGATTTGGGGTAACATACTTCCCAACGGTGACTGCGACACCAGATCGGTCGTGAAGTTCGAAAACAGACTGAATCAAACCCTGTCAATGAAGATGAAGAGAGTACAATTTATGGCAATTCAGATTGCTAGTTCAACTAGACAAGTAGAAAAGAAACTCAAAAAACATTCATGCAAGGGAGAACAAAGAAGTCACATGTAAACATTGCAGCATAGCAAAAAGAAATTTGAAGTTAATATAATAAGAACATACGAAAAAGACTAGCTAAAGCTGAGGTAAATATCTTAAACCTTGCCATAAGTCCTTTCTCCCACAAGAACAGCTCTGCAATTATCATGCAGCGAGGAAGCAACCTGAAATAAGAACTCGAGTGAGTAAAATACAAGATCATAAAACGGATTCACATGTTATTCAGTTGATTGAGGCACTCACAATTTCACTTGCACTTGCAGTTTTTTTGTTCACAAGAACCTGCATGAATTGTGGTCGAGAGCATTATAATTAAGTCCATACATTGAAAGTATATGCCAATTAATCAGTGTATATTTTAGTGTAAAACAAGATGTATCTAAGCGTCATCAAACAAGTTAGATTTACAATGCTGGAAATGAATGTTTTAAATATCAAATATTGGGCAGAATTAGATTTTGCAGGAGAAAAGGAGGTTCTGATTCAGCTGTTGTCTAAAACATGAAATTTGAATAAAGCCGACTTTCAAATTATTGTTAAAGAATGTCTGCAGCAACTTACCTAAAATTTTAGCCAAAGAACATGCGTGCTAGTTAATTTTTTTTTTCATGTAGAGAATTAATTAAAACCAGTTCATTCAAATAGTTATTTCACCATCCTAGTTAGATGCCTGCTTCAGCAAGTTGCATTCTTATTCATCTGTACACATTGAAGAACTAACACTAAACTGCTGGTGTCAGGACAATTATTATGCTTTTCCCCATTTTGTAAAGAATTATTCGTTGTAAACCTAAAAAAAATACAATTTTCCTTTCCTCAAAATCAAAACAAGCAAGAGGTTCATCGATGAGACCAGCATGGCAGGCAGGATCTATCACATCCATTTTTTACACGTCACCTATTGACATAAATGAACAAAGTGCGATTCCCTCTCTTTATAAACAAAACAAGAATAAGGTTAAGTAACAGACCAGCATGGTGATAAAGATTTATTACACCCATTTTTTTCAAGTTACCCTTCCATATTACTGAGCCATATATACCTTCTAAAATGGGTTCGAACAGAAACAAGTTAACCGACATAATAAAATTTAGTTTCATTATATAAGTTAAACACATTAAAAAGAATTACCTCTTTTAGAAACCAACAGTTCTTAACGAACTAAAACTTAATGCAGCTTAAATGAGAAGCCATTCAGTTCTTCATGTACGATTAAAATAAAGAGACTTCATAAGAAAACATTACATACCACGACTGGAGCTGTAACTAATGGTCCAGTGTCTGCAACAACAGTTTTTTGGTATTGGGGATCTCTTCCAACTGTATAGATCACCTGGACATGTATCAACAAGAAGAAAACACCAAATAAACAATCATATCATCATTTTCAATTGATAGTTAAGGCATCTTCAAAGGTAGTTGAGCAAGTCATCATATCATCATTTTTTTTGTAAATCAGAAAAAAGGAGCTTTTATCGAAGAGTGTCACACCAGGTTTCATATCTTAATCCATTACCTTGAAGAGTTTCAAAAAAAGAAATTATTGGACACAAATAGTGTAACAACCCAAGCCGCACCGGTAGCAAATATTGTCCGTTTTGGCCCGTTATGTATCACCGTCAATCTCACGTTTTTAAAACACGTCTGCTAGGGAGAGATTTCTACACCGTTATAAGGAATGTTCGTTCCCCACTCTAACCGATGTGGGATCTCACAATCCACCCCTCTTGGAGGCCAGCGTCCTCACTGGCACATCGCCAAGTGTCCAGCTTTAATACCATTTGTAATTGCCCAAGCCCACCGCTAGCAGATATTGTCCACTTTGGTCCATTATGTATCGCCGTTAGCCTCACGCTTTGTTCCCCTCTCCAACCGATGGGATCTCACAAATGGTGATTTTTCATTACATAAAAAAATGCTTGAAAGTAAGCTCATTAAGTTATTTTTGTTTTAATACTACTACCAACATCTAAGGCAGCAAGTGATGGATGCAATCAAGCATTAACAAAATGGTTTGGCCTAAAATGATCTAGGTTTACTACCCATGTTTCATCAACAGGAAAAAAAAAAAAAAAAAAAAAAATTTT